TTATTGTAGAGATGAGGTCTCGCCAAGTTGCCCGGGCTGGTCTTGAACCCACGGGCTCAGATAATCCACTCACCTTGGCCTCCCAAAGTGCTGAGATTACAGGCTGAGTCATCGCCTACTCTTATCCAGCTATTCCCATCCTTCACTTCCCTACCACTTCCTGGCCACATTCATATACACTGACCTTCTGGTAGCACAAGGAGAGCTCTGCCCCTGGGCCCTCGGCCATACCTTTCCTCCTGGGTGAAAAACCATCTGTAGGGAGATGAGGAGAGGCTTAAGGTGTGAGGTTCCCAGTCCTCCCGCCCAACTTTCCCAAGTCACTGAGAGCTGGAGCTGAGCTGCTGGGTTTACCCAACATCTCTCCTGGATGGAAAGGTAGCACCCCAGGGCACCCGGCTGCCATTCAGTCTGGGGGAGTTTGGAGGGGGCCGAGGGCAGCTCTGGTGTGGAACAGTATATGTGTGGGGGTATCATTAGATGAGAGACAGGAGGACAAGAGTTTGGGGAAGCTAGTCAGGGTGACCTTTTTGAAAAGGGAGGCAGATGTTCACCTTTGGGGAATTTGGAGTCTTGAATCTTCACCTTCAGCTCAGTGAGGAAAATGTCCTCTGTAGGGTCTTGACTCAGGTCACTGAAGAAGATCTGGAGAGAGGAAGGGGGAGGAGGAAAGTTGGGAGGAGGAGGTTTGGAGAAGGTTTCCTTGCTAGGCCAGAGGCAGCTTCCCCCTCTGACCCCCATGACCCGAGGGTGTAGATGGCTGGGGAATGGTCCAGAAGTGGGGACAGGTAGCCCCCATCATCCTGCCAATGCTAGATTCTGAACTGCATGAAAAGATCATCTGGGTCTGAATGTATCCATATCTATAACAATATATACTTATAAATGATGGAAGAAGGCCGGGCACAGTGGCTCAAGCCTGTAATCGCAGAACTTTGGGAGGCTGAGGCCAGAGAATTGCCTAAGCTCAGGGATTCAAGACCAGCCTGGGCAACTGGGCGAGACCTTGTTCTATAAGTAAATCAAAAAATAAGCCGGGCGTGGTAGTGTGTGCTTGTAGTTCCAGCTGCTCGGAAGACTGATGGGAAGGATCACTGGAGCCCAGCAGGTTGAGGATGCAGTGGCCGTGAGTGTGCCCCTGCACTCCAGCCTGGGCGACAAGTGAGACTCTCACTCAAAAAAAAAAGTGATGAGTTCAAAGGATGGAAGAAACTATTATCAAAAACCCAAACTACCTGGTAACCACTACTATTTAAAGGGGAGAGCAGGAGCAAGGACCAAATTCTCACCAGGCAGAAGTAATGAAACCCCTTGTAGACACTGGTAGAGGAGCAGGGGGCAGAAAGGAGAAGCCCTCCAATGTGTACCAAGAAGCCTGTGGCTGAGTGAGGGAATAGCTAGCAAGGGCTGACCAGACCTTGGGGTACCATGTTAGAATCTGGAGGAAGAGGAGCTCTGAGGGAAAGGCGCAGAGAAGACAGGAGAGGCCAGATGTAGATGGGGGACAGAAATGGTGTCCCAGCAACATGGAAGAGCAACCAGAGGATTCTGGAGAATAGGGGTGTGAGGAAGAGAAAATCAGCCCATGAAAGTCGGAATCTGTGAGGCCATGCTGTCCTGCTGCCCATCAGCAACTCCCAGATGCCAATGTGACTAGAGCAAGATTGCTGTGACGAACCAAGATAAAAGTCACTCCACAGTCATGCCCAAACACACATAAAATGGGAACACTGTGCCACCATCCTCCTGCCCTTCCATCCCAGCCAAATATGAGGAACTGCTGAGTCCCTTTTCAGCAAGAATTATCATGATACCCAGGCAGAGAATCACTACTTCCTGCTGGCATCCAGCCCAGAGCAAATTCCTGTTTATAGGAATCCTCCCCAAATCACCAACACATGCCCCAATCCTAGAACACATTCTTTCTAACAGCCTTTTACAGAGTTGCCTCCTGGTTCCCATGATGTGTGGTTTCCCTCATTGCAACGCATCAGCAAACCCACCCTTGTGCAGCTACAGGTGTGCTCCTGGTGGCTGTTGGCTGAAAGGCATTGACAGATGCCAAATCTTTAATTTTAAGTTTGGGGTGTGTGTGTGTTTGTGTGTGTTTTGAGTTGGGGAGTCTCACTCTGTTACCCAGGCTGGAGTGCAGTGGCACAATCATGACCATCATGATTCGTGGCAGCCTTGGTCTTCCAGGCCCAGGCAATCCCTCCATCTCAGCATCCCAAGTAGCTGGACCACAGGCATGTGCCACCATGCCCGGCTAATTTTTAAAAATTTTTTGTAGAGACAATGTTTTGCTATGTTGCCCAGATTGGTCTCAAACTTCTGGGCTCAAGCATTCTTCCCACTGGGATTACATGCCATGAGCCACTGTGTCTGGTCTGTTTGTTGTATGTTGTTTTGTTTTGCATTTGGGAAATAAATAAAAGGGCCTAAATTCCTTACTTGGCTCAAAACCAGGAAGGCAATACTGAAAAGATCTACCACAGGAGGCAGAGTAAAGAATAAGAATTCAGTAAGATAGGACACTAGGGGTGGAGATGGCCATGAGAAATTCATCCCCAGGTCCTCACAGAAATTGCAGGGGTCAGGGTGTGTGGTGCTGGGCTTTCCCTAGAACATGGAATGGTGAGTCCAGCAAATATTAATCTGATTTTTTTTTTTTTTTTGAGTTGGAGTCTCACTCCGTTGCCCAGGCTGGAGGGCCATGGCATATTCACAGCCACTCCAGCGTCGACCTGCTGGGTTCTAGCGATCCTTCTGCCTCAGTCTTCCAAGTAGCTGGAACTACAGGTGCACACTACCATGCCTGGCTAATTTTTGATTTATTGTAGAGATGAGGGTTCGCCAAGTTGCCCTGGCTGGTCTCGAACCCGCGGGCTCAGGCAATCCACTTGTCTCGGCCTCCCAAAGTGCTGGGATTACAGGCTGAGCCACTGAGCCTGGTCTAATTTGATTTTTAGTAGCAAGGTGACCTCGAATGAAACCTGGGACAATATCTCTATGTCCATGTCTCTATCGCACAGTGATTTGCTGTCGAAATATGAGTGGACCAGTCCTTTGAGTGAACAGGAGCACAAGGGCCTGAAGGAACATGGCACCGAGACCCAGGAGGGTTCAGGAGTTGCTTTTGCTGAGGTCTTATTCTGCTGGACCCTTGTGTGGGCACTTGGCATTTGTCATCTCATTAATCCTCTTAGCAATCCTAGGAGGGAGGTATCCTGAGCCTCCTCTTAGGGAGCAGGAAACTCTGGCTCTGAGGCATTAAGGAACTTGCCCAGGGTCACAAGGAACAAAGTGGGGATTCTAACCTAAGTTCTTACCCACTGTGTTGGTATATTTCGTGCGCTGTCTTTCTTGCCCCATCCTCCCCCACCTCTTTACTATACCTTTCTGCTCATTTGAATTCTTACAAGAACCTGATGGCGGGTGAAGATTATTATTCCCATTTTAAATATGGGGAAAATTCATTTTAGAGAGGTAGAGGTGTCCAGATGACACAGCTGGCAAGTGGAGGAACCAGGAGGCAAAGCCATGACTGTTGTCCCAACTCATAGTGCCTCTAAATCCACACTCAGTCAGTCCTCTGGGACCACAATGATCCACCGTCTAATTTACACACACACACACACACACACACACACACACACACACACACATACACACACACACTTTATTGTGTTAATAGCAGGAGGTTCAAAGGTGAACAAAACACAGTCCATTAGCTCAAGGGATGCCTTATTTTGGTGGAGAGCAATACACATCTATGCTGCATCGCAAAGTACTAGATGAAATGTGAGAGCTATGCCAAGAGCATTTTAGGAGCTCTGAGGAGAAGCACCCAACCCAGCTGGGGGGTGAGAGGGATAGGAGCCAGAGCAGTTTTGCTATATAATGAGAGAGACGAAGAGGGTGAAGGAGAGAATTTGAGGTGGGAGAGAAGAGCATTCCAGGCCCAGGTTCGGCATGGGTAAAGACTTGGAGGTGAGAGCATCAAAGCATGTGTGGAAAACCAAGATGGAAGGAAGGGGCTGGCTAGGTCAAGAAGCATCTCTGAAGGCAACAGAGGGCTGTTGGAAAGGCCAGAGGAGGACCAAGAGAAAGAGTTACAAGAGTCAAGAGAAGGTTGGCTTCAGGAAGGGGGAGAGATGCACTTTTGTGGTTGTGATTGTGACACAAACAAGCTATTATATATGTAATTGTATAGACAAAGGAAATAAGTGTGGTGGCTCAGTTTCAAATGTGGAAGGGAGGCCCAGTAAGACAGGGCAGGAGAACATCCTTGGGCCTGGCAATTTGGGGCTGATTGGTAAGAATAGTTTTAGAAGAGACAGCTTGCCATGGTTTGAGGGTCAAGAGAGATGTAAGAAAATGGAGAAGATGAATCAGGTTGACCCTATACCTCTGGCTTCAGGGTATATATGCAACCTCTCTCCTTGGCCACAGTGATTAGTGGGATAAGCGCTTGCCTCAGTGCTTTTTCCTCAATAACCATATTGGAAAAGGGAAGCCTTCTCCTCACTGGAGTTGCTAGGCTAGAAATACATAGACCTGGAACTGCTGTTCATATTGCCACCAAGATGAGAGCTGAAGAGCAAGAGACAGAGTGTAGCCCTGGAGGCACAGTTGGGCTCTCAAACCCAGCTCTTCCAAAGCCACCACAGCCCTGAACTTTTCTGCAATGTGAGCCAATCGATTTTCCTTTGTTCTTATACTCATTTTTTAAAAATTGCTGTTACTTGCAACTGAAGAGTCCTTCCCAAACCAAAACTGGAATGAGCAATGGAATTTTGTGAGTGAAGACGCTAAAATGACAATTGGCCGAGCCCCAGTGGGGTGGAGGAAGTGAGACCCCTTCCCTTCCTAGCGAGGGATTTAGGAATCCCCACTGCAGGGGGTGCTGCCTGCTGGACCCTGGGCCCATGCGCCCATGCAATGTGCCCACTGAGGTTGGAGCTTTAAGAAGTTGGGGGAAATAAAGCCAGGATGCAGGCATGTGTCAGCCACTTCTTGTGGTTGGCAGTGAGGGCCTTGAGAAAGCCACAGTGGTCAGTAAGCTGGTCAATCTTAGAGCAGAAAGAATCCACAGTCTTCTAAAAGAGGTCTTATCTGCCTCTATCAGTCAATAAGAACTGGGTAATCTTGGGAACTAAAGGATTAAAAAAGCTGAATTCTCTGCCACTGTTTAATGCCAGCAAAGGTATGGAGCTTGAAAACAAAGTAGGAGATAAGACTGAGACCTAGAAAAAGTTTGATCTTCAGGCTCTCCCCTCCCAAGCCCTCAATGGAAAAACTAAATGGAAACATCATAGGTTCAAATGGTTGTTTTGTTTGTTTCAGATCACCAGTCCCCATTGATGGGGAGGAACAGGTAAAGGGGAATGACCAAAGGAGGAAGGTCCAGGAGAAGGTGTCAGCATGTGAGTCAGGGGCATGTGTGAAAGGGTTTGATTCCAGTCACCAGAGGAGTCTGGGAGGCTGTGAATGGGTGAAGGTATGTTTCTAAGTGTGGATAAGAAGTTTGGAGGAACCAAAGTTCTTTTTTTTCCCTAGTGAAGTGGGTGGAAAAGTCATTTGCTGAAGGGAAGAGCTTGAGGAAAGTGAAGAAGGTTGGAATAGCCATTGCTCCAGTGGAAAAGGGAGCTTGCCAAGAGAATACCGTGGTCCCCGGAGGCTGAATGTCTTGAATGTGGAGACACAACAGGCCATAGGGCTTTGGATTTGTTTTCCCAGGTGGTACCCAGAAGCCTAAGTTTTTAGCAAAAGGTAAGGCACATAGTAGCGCTTATCTGGGCTTGGGTTTTGCTGAGAGGGGCGTCAGGGAAGGAAAGCAGAGGGAAATGAAGGGCAGGTAAGAGGAGAAACTGACTGACAGAAAAGGAAGAGAGGCAATGGGGCTGAGGGACAGTGAGCAAATGAAATGGCTTGGGGTCTCTGTGAGGCTGAAGAGCGGTGTGGAGAAGAGAAGGCGAGAGAGCCTTGGAGCAACCAGAGTTTGTGACCAGAGACTGGAAAACAGAGTTTCAGATCTGAAGTGAAGCACTTCCTGGTGATGACTTCCAAAGCAGCCTATCCCCAATTCCTAGTCCTCCGGAGGGATCAAGGACCGAGGAGAATCCTTCCACGTAAAGAAGATCTACTTCTGCTTAGATTTGAAGTCTTAGAAGTTAATAATGATCTGATTCATCTGGAGATTAGGAAGACAAAAATTAACAACCAAGGGTGCCCGGGCGTGTTCTTGTTTGCATCCTGGTGACCAGTGTTTCTTCAAAGCTGGTATTTAGGCTGTGGAGTCCTGGGGTCCAGAAGGCTGGCATGTGCCTTTGGAGCCCAGGTGGTGTTTACCTTGACTGTGTAGATCTGGAAATAGATGGGTTGGGTACCCATTCGGACATAGTAGGTGATAACATCCAGGATGAAGGGGTCCACAGTCCGGGATGCGTCCAGAGAGGGGGGCTGCGAGGGAGACAAGGAATGTCTTCAGTTTTCTCCAGGTTACTGTGGGAGATATCATTTTCTTAAGAAACTCCAAGCTTCCCTGTTCCCCAATACCCTCTGGGATGCACTAACCCAGTGGGCCCTTCAACACATTCCAAACCTTTCCTACCATACCTGATTCCCACTCCTAATCAAAATATCTCTGTCCAGAGCCCCATCTCTCCTGGGAACCTGATTCATTTCAAATCTACAAAGACATGCTGGGCACCTCTATGTGTAAGGCACTGTGCTGGGTGCCTGGGGGATGCTCGAGAATGCAACTAATGATAAGAGAGCCTGGACTGGGTTCTAGGTTAGGATTGGCTACTTGCCATTGGCCAGGTGACCATGGCCAGGTTACTCAAACACAAGAGACCTGAGTTCCCTTCTAGGGAAAATAGGAGGTTGCATCACATGATCTGAAGCCTCTGTCAGCTCTAGTGGTCTCTGGATCTCTCTCTCTCTCTCTCTCTTTTTTTGGAGTTGGAGTCTCACTCTGCCATCCAGGCTGGAGTGCAGTGGCATACTCACAGCCACCCCAGCATTGACCTGCTGGACTTGGCGATCCTTCTGCCTCAGCCTTCCAAGTAGCCAGAACTACAGGCGTGTACTACCACACCAGGCTAATTTTTGATTTATTGTAGAGATGAGGTCTCACCAAGTTGCCCACGCTGGTCTCGAACCCGTGGGC